TTTTTTTTTTTTTTTTTTTTTTTTTTTTTTTTTTTTTTTTTTTTGTCGCAGATTTTTTTTGTGAACATGGCTGATAAATTAGTTTGCTTTGTGAGCTATTTACTTTCTCGAATTATCATTTAATTTTGTAATTCATCAAGTCCGAGGTTTGAGCACCTTATTCGTACTCAAAGAGTTATTAGCTGATCTCAAAACAACCGGCTCTTTATCGTGAAACTGAAAATACTAATAGACTGAGATGTTCATTACTGGTCAATCTTGATGATTGGCCAGAAGTTTCGTTTATCGTCCGCGTTGCTTATAGGTCAGCAATTAATTTCTTTCTTTTTCTTTTTTATCTTTCTTTTCTATTCTTTAAATTCTTTTCCTTTTGTTTTTTGCTTTTTGCTTTTTTATTTTATTTTTTCCATGTTCGTTTTATTATTCCATTGTTGCATTTGTAATGATAAAATGGCAGTATTTCAATTTTCCCAATTGATATTTTCTTTTCTTTCATGATGTTAACCATCACTACACTACTGTAGGATTCAGTTTCCAGTACGACCCCAAGTTGGCAATTCATTCCTCATCAGAGAAGTCTATAATCGTCCCCTGGTAGGTATCCAAACAGCTCAATCAAACACTGGTATAATTTCCCCTTAGTTTAAAGGCGAACGTTTGAATTGGCAGCAAATAGAAATTGCAGGAAATGCGAATACTAGAAACTTTACTAATGACGATCAAAATTTACCCGCAATCTTTTTATTATTATTCTGGTTCAGAACGGTAGTTAATTTTTTAAGGTTTTATTTTTATACCGAATTTACAATTTTGATAATTGCCTGCGCGTTTGCAATGAAATTGCAGCATTTACTCAATATGAGATTCCTTGTGCTACCATCCTGATCTTCGGCAGGTGAGACTCACCTTGATCGCACCGCTCTTAAACAATAGGTTAGTTACTGCAGGTTATTTTACTGAGATGAGACAGATCCGGAATTAAGCGAGTCTGTTGTTATATAGATACAAACTCGCATCATTGGAGTTTAACTAAACGTGCCTTAGTATTACGAGTATTACGATATATCAACAAAAAAAAACTCTCGATAGTTTTTTAATACAATAGAAAAAAGGACAAGATGTACTTGGACAATCAAAAACACACTGATTATGATTTAGAATAAAACTACTCACTTTAGCCTTACTATAGACTAATAGAAATGACCACACTTTTAGTTAACAGATGTATTTAACTTATAGTTTAGGATGGTTATAGTTTTTAGTTACTCAGTGGATTTCTTTCATTTTTTCTTTTTCTTTTTCTTTTTTTTCTTTTTTTCTTTCTTTTTTTCTTTTTTTTTCTGTTATCGTCGACGTCTTTTCTTCGTCTATGCCTATGTAAAAGATATATGCGTAAGATCAGACGTACTGAATGTCGTTGATTATGACCGTGTGCAAATGTGACTCTAGTGGAAATGAGATCAAGAATGCAAGTCACGACCTGAGATCCGTAGACTTGTGACAATTGACAACTAAATTGATTGGATAACGACGGTGATTATTTTGATCACGTTTTGTCTTTGTGAGGACTCATTGAAATTGAGACTAGAGTCCCCACAAAGACTGCAAAACTACAACCATTAAACTTGCGTTAACTTTATTTCTCTCCTAATGGGGCCGAGGATTGTGTTTTTAAAAGTGCTAAGGGTATAGCGAAGATAATGAAGATAGTGTGTGATTTTATGAGCAACAAGTTGTTCCCTTAGAGCTGCAGTAGGTCGCTTGCCAGACAACGCCAAAAATAGTACTAATGTTATTTGCCTTCTGTCGAGCTTGTTTATGTGTATCCTAACGAAAAGGAGTAAAGCCAAGTGGTTGAGAGTCATTGCTTCTCTCTAATGACTGTGCAGTTCTTATTCTTTTGTACATCCAGGCCCGAATTCATCATTCATTCATTTTTTCGTTCTTCCTTGCTAACAGCTCGCAGTAGTGAAACACTTCAGTCGCAGTTAGTAAAGAAAACTGTAGTTCAAATTACTGTGAAAGCGAGTGCAATAGTAGTAAAGCTAGTTTTATTTATATCTAGTTGATATAAACTAAAAAACATTGGGTTAGCTGTTCGGACTTGTTTTTTATCAATGCCATATAAATCTTTATATTTTCTAGTTTTCTTTTTCGTACAAATACTAGGTTACTTAAAAACTATTTCTTTCTGTGTGATTCAGGTGCCTGCATACTATAAGTTTTATATTTAATACTTCTGAAGTCGTACCAACCCTGCCCAAGATGTTGGTCTGTACGAGAGCATAAGAAACTTCAGATTGCAAAACAATTCTTTTTGAATTTTTGCCAAGAAAAGATAACTAAGAATAGTACTTACTGGTTTGGACTGAGCAGAATAAATGTAATGCTTCGCGCTGATTATCTAGTCGTCTCTAATTCTTCTCATTATGAAAACGTTCTTCACTGTACAAGTTTGTTCCAGGTTGAACGTAACCAAGATACGCTTATACAGGGCATTGAAATTTCGGCTGTCTTTTTGATTCTATAATGAATGGATCACTCTCGTATTTACGACGGACCCAGCAACCGTTCAGTATAAATGCTTTAGGTACGCCCTTGAGGATTTCCTGATCACTTGACAAATTGAAATATAAAGTTTCTCTTTCCCTAACAAACAAAAGACTCAAAACTCTACTAAGAACGAATTTCTCATTAATATCGCATAAAAAATATTTTTGTTAGTGCTGCTTAACTTCTTGTATATCTTTAACTCAAGTTACGATAACATCAAGAAAGTGTAATGTATGCTAAATTTAAAGTCTTGTCTGAGCAAAGTGTTGCTATCCTCTCTAGATATCAACAGTATCAGCTTGTAATCGTTAGTGGTGCTACTATATCACCTTTGATTATATATGGGTATTCCATGATTGATTAGAAGTATACTTTTGGTGCATGTCCCAGGACTGGCTATATTGTGGTATTTAAGTTTTAACCCGATTACAGCGCATGGAATATAAGTATTAGAAGACCAAATTACTTTGATACCTTTGATAGCGCAGCATGTATTAAGTCTTGAGCAAACATGGTATGATCCCAATTTTCTAACCGAACACTCGTTATAGTATTGGTGTACTGACTTCAACGGACTATAGCTAAATGAAATGTTAAGTTATCATTTTCATGTCTTCGCAAAACACATGCAGTCAGAGTACGTAATGTATAAACAGCCCAACTCTCATATATAAACACACAAGTTTTATTTCCAATACGTTTTAAAATTTGCTTTTTTTGGGGGAAATTAGAATTACTTCAGCGTCGTATTATCCGCCAATCTTATCGTTTCTCTGGGACTTTGTTATCAAAAATCTTGTCAGCAGAATCAGTTTGCAATTGTAATCGCACAGAGTTCGATTCAGTATTTTTTTTCAAATGAAATTCAAAGGTTCAAAATATCGAGTACTTAGTGCCCGAGGGAGTTTAGCGACGCACACTGGAGTCACCAACACACAACCAAAAAAAATCGGGAAAAACGCTTATTATAAACTACAAAACCTCTCTTTTTGTATAATCTTAAGCTCCATTTTGCGTCATAGTTGTATTAAAGAAAACCGTTAATCATTATTACAAAGACTTTTAGTCTTAAAAGTTGTTACGCCTACGTACGTAATACAGTTCTTCTCACAAAGCAATATAGTAATATCACATAACTTATACAAGTATACATAGATAAGAACAAAAGCTATATATATGGTTCACTCTTGATTCGATATTGTAAATCATGCCGGATATCTAAGTGTATATATAGAAACATACATACGTGTATTAGTATAGTGGTGTATATGTATGTGTATGTGTATTTGCCAACAAACTCAGTATCTATACTAGATATGGTATCTCGAAGATATTGATAGTGTTGTAATGACTGATACAAGCTAGGTCATTTTCTCTAAGGGCTAAACTGAGAGTTTTTAATTACTTATGCTGAAATACAGGTTAACCTAAAAACAGTCGACTTTTTTACCGATTTTTTCAATGTCGCCATCATGCAAAGAAATTTTTTTTTCATAATAAAAAGGGTTCCATTGCGATGCTAGTCTGCTGTTGAATTCAAAATTTATCGATTCCCTGAAACAACCTCTTGTTACTTCGTATTTTTTTCATTCTTATTATACGTGCTCACTAAAACATTTTTCCTTGAAAAACTCATTCGTTCGTTAGAGCTAGATCTTGTACTAAAGATTTAATTCAAAATTTCGTCTTATGCCCGCAATAGTACGCGTGCAGCGTTTTACCCCTGCTCATTTATTTTTGCAGTTGTAAAGATAGAATTGTAGTATCATGTTTAGGACTCCGGAAATCCGAGAAAGGTCAACGAGGATATTTGACTCGATTGATTTGTTTACAACGTCTTCTTTCTTCGTTGTTGTGCAGAAAAAAGATCGCAGGAAAGTGGGCAGGAATGATGCTTAAGATCGCTACCCTTTGAACAGGAAGGAGCTCAGTATCTAGTTATCTATGCGCCTGCAGTACTGTTTCCTCCCATCATTACTTTATAAAAACATGCGCCGACAATTCGATTAGAAAGTTCCTGCCGCCTAGACTCCTAAGTCATCAATAAAGGTCTCGCACAAGTTAGATTTACTTAACGACTCAAAGTCTACCTGAATTACATCACGTCGTGTCAGGCTTCCAGGAACAAGCGCTGCCTGTAAAGAACGTTCAAGATGTTATGAATTACACCCTACACGGATCAAAGGTCTCGAGCGGGAATACGTCAATGTCTCCAGTCAGATTTCGTCCAAGAGCGCGTGCCTTATTGTTTAAGTTGTCACAAGTAAACGTGCATTGATCATCTGCCTTAACAGCTAACAAAAGGGCCTTTTTGATGCTATTTCTCGCAAACGATAATAACCATATTCACTGCTACATTGTTCATTTCTAAGAAAAGAACTTTTACTTTTTAAAAAGTTGTTACTTTCGTTACTCGTTTAACCTCAAAAAAACAAAAAAACAAAAAAAAAACAAAAAAACAAAAAAAAACAAAAACAAAAACAAAAAACACACAGAATTAATGAACCTTTTTCTTCAACTTAACTGGTACTTTTTTCAGGCACTTAAGTAACTTGGCTCATCGAATACCTTAGTTAATTTGTTTCCGTTCAAAGTGTAGTTTTAAATTCGACTGAATCATATCTCTCATACTCTTTTTCATATCGACCGCAAATACAGACAGCGAATACAAAAAATCTATAAAATAATGTTCAGTATTTTTATATAGTCAAATGTATCGTTACAAGTCTAGTTTTCAGGTAGTGGAACTATGATATATCAAATGTATATAAATATATTACTACATACATGCAATAGAAGCACAATTGGTTTGTCCAGGTTTTAGGACCTATATACCATGTGATCATTGAGGTTGGACATACACACTAGATAAACAGTATACACATATATAGATCTCGTAGTCTCTGATATCGTGATGGTTTATCGTGATGTAGTATTTAGAACACCTGGAGGTCTTTTCTGATGATACCTCAGTTAAAAACAGTCCTCAAGGCTTGATTTTAGTTGCACGTGTTGGGTTTCTGTGTTATCGTTTGTTTTGTATTGAGTGCGCCCTTGCTATTGTACCTATTGTATTGGTCAAAAACAAAACTCTCGAGTGAGAAAAATAACGGTAGTTCGAGAACTGCACGATCCGAAAGATTCTTCCAAAACTCCTCGATCGTCAAATTTCTTCCCTGCTAAATTCTGCGCCGATTTAAGTTCGTATCGTGCAATAATATTTTTTATTCTTCATTTCATGAATAGAAAATTAGCAAGATCTAGCTACCCGCAGTTGTCAAATTTTGTTTTTACTGGATTTTCTTTAAATATATCTGATTTGCAAACGTTTTTCTTTAAAATATCACAAGTATGTAGTCGAGTACATGACGAACAAAAATGGTATGTGTGTTATGGTGTTCCTGTAGAGCACATCACGGAGCAACGTACTTAGACCGGAAACCAATACAAAGCTAAACACACGCCTATTGTACATGTTGTTGTTGCATTCATTCAAAAGCTGTACCTGGCCAAGATGGCTGTGCCATAATTATAAGACATAAGTCGCATTATCTGTTGTCATGCGACCTGTTGGCACCTGAACGACCATCATACGGTCAATCTTGAACTAAAAGCAACCTTTAATAAAGAGACGTCATAAGTCGCACTCATGCTAGAAAATCTAGATGAAGTAGTCTTGAAAATTTGAAGGCCGGTTATGAGTATTGAGTTTGAAATGTCCGATACTTATTTTGCCGGAATTGTCGATTGGCAACGGTACAAAATTTCTCTACTTAAAATAAGTTTGGTAATGTGGACTGATCAGGAACTGCGTAGGCTGGGCTGATCGAAGAACAAACAAAGGGGTCATAACACTCGTGAGAATGGATTCTGGGTGTCATAACAACAAGCTCACTTTGATTCGACTTTGATTCGTTGGCCATTGATTTGGTATAGGGAGAGAGGGTTTGTCTGACAAGAGGTTGTCTCTCCCTATGTTTGATTGACAGTATTTCGTGGTCGCATTTGAGAGCTAAGGTGTCGCCTTACGTAGGCGTATACCAACATGGTTGTCTATAGCTTTAAGAAGTGTCTGGCCTACGTGAGATTTATGTGTACCTAAAATATGGCTGCCCGCTTTAACATGGGCACCACGACTGCGGCGGGCGTTGATTGCTTATGAGAAGTGGATAACCCTAACCATGTTAGTGATTACCAATGAGTAGCAACTGGTCGTCGAGAGGGGCATATAGCATGTCGTCGCTTATAAGAAGCGGTCATCTTTAACAGATATTTAGTCTGACGAAAAGGTGTTATATACCTATAAGATAGTAGTCTACTCATGTAAGTGGTGGTATGAGAGGCCTCAATACCTATATTTAGAGTTGTTCACCATCATGATGGTCGTCTATGACAAGTGGTCGGCTATGAGAGGCCTCAATACCTATATTAAGAGGTGTTCACCATCAAGATGGTCGCCTATGATAAGTGGTCGAATAAGGGACGCAAATTTTTAAGTCGAGGCTGTCCAATCTTATAAATCATAGGCGAATTATTTCCACAATAACCACAATATAAATCCTGCTAGCCTAATAGGCCATTTGCATGATGGCGTCATTTGACTACCATTCCCAAAATGCTTCATGAATTTTCTTTCTTATTCATATTTGTATTTCCTAAGAAAGAAAATTCATGAAGCATTTTGCGGGAAATGGTAGTCAAATGACGCCATCATGCAAATGTCCCATTCAAGATCACGACATAACGCGGTGTTCCAGAGCTCAGGTCTCGCTCGAGCATGTAAAATGTTAAACACTTGGGCCGATATGATTTTTCAAGAGATCTCGGTACACATTTATACACGTACAACCAATTAGGCGCCACAAACATTACTAAGAAAAAGTTTCATGTCTCATGTAGGACTACCATGAACAATTATGTTCTCAAGTGGATTACTCCGAACAGCGGCGTTATGGCTGTTACTCAGAAACCGTCAGTAATGATGAAACTCAAAAAAAAAAAAAAAAATTACAAAAGAAATCATACTTTAACTTCTGTGCTTTTCTGAATCATTCAGTTAAGCTATAGTTATGAGATAAAGCGATGGTAAACGTTATACGTACAAAGTA